CTGCTAAAAGATACTCACTTCAGTAATTAAAAAAACTATTAGAAAATATCGATAATATTAAGTGTTACCTTATTCAATTCCATGGCTGATTCAAAGCAAGCGCGCAGGAAGACAAACATTTTTTATAATATTTGCTGCATTTAGTGTCACAGTAAGACTTTCTTACTCTACTCCTATTATTTGTAAGAAATTGCTTAATTAGTCCACTAAGAGCTATGCCGTCATTTCATATTAAAAAATTTAAAAAGCGACTAATCTTTAATGACAACCAGCATTCACACCACAAGATGTCGTTTAAGCTTACTGACGCTAATGGCAATACTAATAAAAATCGGCCAAATGAAGTATACTATGGTAGTTTAAAAGTAGGCCGTGAGTTTTTGGTCTTTTCTTTTGTGAAGCAAGTAGTATTAGAATTTACTTACAGGGAAGTTGTACGCGTAACCACTAAATAAGAAAACTGCGAGTTGGCACAGACGGGAATGGAACCTGCAAACCTTAAGCTTTTGTCTCACAATGCTCTAACCACTGTATCCACTGTTAAACCTATGTTCTCAAGGTCTTACTGTCTTTTCTGGGGGAGAGCTATGCTTTTAGCTCTAGAGCGTGAGTGGTTATAATGTATAAGAATTTGTTTAGAGGCATTTTGTTCCCGTCCCTAAGGGTCTTTTCGCGTGGTGCAGGGTAAAGAGGATTACCTACAATATCAGGGTGTGCTATGCTTATAGCCATAGACCTTCTCTTGTGTAAAACAAAGTTTGGTTTGTGTAATTGAGGATATGTTTGGTTAATTATAAAGTTGGTCTATTTCCAGGACTTTTTTTCTTTACCAAATATAATGTGTAAGGCTTCATGACAAAATTATAAGGTTTGTGTCAGTATATAGTATCAAATATTTTTATCATTGGTTAAATTAATGGCTTAGAAAAAAGTACAACTTCAATAATTCTTTTTTTCTGTTACCTTTTAAGTCTATTATTTTTTGTATATCGAGAACTTTACACCCCAGTGGTTGATATGTCATGATATTTTTATATCACATTCAGAAATACAGCATAACGCAAAGCTTCCGTCAAGTGTATAAAGGTTAATTCTAACTGTTTTAGTATATAACGCGTGTTGTATTTTGTTTAAATGTTCGGCTGCATAGCAGTACTGTAGGGTATCCTTGAGATATGGATAAGGAAGATCCCCGTTTTGATAAGTTCATTGATTATAGAACAGCCCACCTTTACCTGTTCTTATTTCTTCAATAGCGGCCGTTATTGTTTATCGGTAAGGATATATTCGATTTTAATATATTATATAGCCTACTTAATAAACACAATTTTTTTCCTGGCATTTGTCTTGTGAGGGGCCTTGTTGTCTCCGTGTATGAACTTGAAGTTCATTGTATTTATATATGTTTAAAACTTTGTTACATTATTGCCTTCTCGTTGTTAATTGCATATATATTTGACATATGCTATCTAACTGTATGATCAACCGGGTTTATAGGTTTGGTAAGTTTGTAACATGCATGTTTATAGGTGATTTGTTTGTGAGGTTAAGGTTAAGGGTTAACATGATGAGTGGAAATTTTATATGGTACAGCAGTTCTGTGAGGCGTACCAGAGAATTTTCTATTAGAATTATATGAGGATGAGGTTAGTTACGTAACCAACAAAGACCAAAAAAGAGAGTCGCGTCGGCGGGATTCGAATCCAGGGCCTTGGGTAAGCGCAACTATGCTCTTAACCCCTGTGCCTACCACTCTTAATCCTGGTATGATGGTTTTACGTATTAAAATTGATAGTTTTTAAATATTTCTTAATGTTTTTTTATTGTATAAAAAGGGCTCTTATATGCAAGTTTCCCTTAACGATAGCACTGGGTTATGAGTAGCTAACCCTTTGTTAAGTTGAGCTAATATACACTCATTACAATTTACCGATAATTATTAGTAGTCGTCTTTAAATTCTTCGTGGACACTTTCATGCTAGCGCCAAGTCTGAAATAAGTGTGCGTTGACTGTCCCTGGGCAACTAGTTTATTGTGGGGTTGAGAAGAGCTTTGCTTCTGTCATCATCGGTGTTTAAATTGCGTATCAATTCTTAAAATGTATAAAGCGTAATAGCACACTAGGTGGTGGCCCTTTCCTTAACATATATAGCGGACGCAATGGGATGTAAAGGCTAAAGGGCTGATATGTGTTGTTGTAGTTTAGCTGCGAGTATATGAAGTTAATTTCGGTTGTTATAGTTAATGATCTTTTTATTAGACCCGTCTCCCTAGTCAAATTATCGGTTATTGTTATAGTTGTATCTTCAATCGCTTCTGTAGGTAATATATTTAATATTTATTATATGTAGTAGCTCCATAAATATTTTTATGTGCAACTTTAGTTAATAAAATAGTACATTGATTTTCAATTATTGGTGCAGGATGTAGACATACCACTAAATGCTTTCATTAAGTCGCTTATGCAGGGTAGAAATCTAGGATACTCACATGAAGTTATTAGATATTTCGAAGCAGCCCTTGACCTTCTAAATTAGTATATAAACTACTTAGGTGTATTACCTATATTATAAATTTTTATCAATGTAAAGGCTAATTATTATTTTTATATGAAGTGCATCTTAAGTTATTTACTAATAATTCGACGTAGTATCGTAGTATTATACCTCTTTATTTTGCTCTTTTTACTTAAAACAAGTAGAGCTGAGTCTCTCTGAGGTGGCGGTTTTGAAACGTATTAGATTTAATGAGAGCGAGGTTACATACGCGATCATCAAGGACCGAAAAAGTGCCGAGTCGGTGGAAATCGGGCCCACGACCTTGTGTATGCGCGTCAATGATCTTAAACGCTGAGCTACAACGACAACTCTCGAGCCCGGTATGATGGCTTTACGTATTTAACCGTTTAAAAAAATCACCGCCAAAACTTCTAAATAGTGCACCCTAACAAAACAAAAAGGCCTTATTTCTAATCAGAAAAAGTTTTCTCGAGGGAGAGTATGTGGGTAAGTTGTAACTAACTACTTAAAGTCATCATACCGGAATCGAGAGTTATCATCGTAATTTAGCGGTTAAAAGCACTGATAAGGTCGTGGGTTCTGTTCTGCCGAGGCGAACTTCGCCAGTTCGTTCAAACCTCGCCCTCTTAAATTCTATTAAGTTAAACCATATGACTTAGGCTTGTTCCTGACAGTCTACGTATACCAATTTGGTTAGTTTGATGTTAACAACTATGAGGAAGAGCAGCGAAGGTTTTAAAAATAAAAAATTTTCAATTCTTAATATTTTAAATATTTTGGATGCCCCTCTTTCAGAATCCCAAATCTGGAGTATATTACTAGAGGTAACTGCCCAGCTCTTGGTTTTTAAACCTTTCTACGCTTACGTAGATAATTTAGTCAATGCTAGCGGTGAATAAAATTGAAGAAATTAAAATATACTCTAAACTCGTTTGCTCTCCCCACTCAATTATTATTGATATTGAAGGAAAAGTTTCTTTTCAAAGTAAATTACTTATTAATCTCGCTCATGTTTTTAAGTTCCCACTTAAAAATTTACTATTTTTAATTTTAACCCGTAATTTAAAATATGGAAACCTCATTTCTTTGCTACTCTTAATTAGTTTTAGAAAATTTCGAAGATTTCTACTTTGATTCTTTTACCAATTTCTTTCCTCCTGAATTGGAAACTATCGAAATAACGACAAAAGATACCTTTGAAAAAGTTAATTTTATCAGTTTTTAGAATCATCCAAGCTAATTTTTTTTATTTATTCATATTAGGCCTGTTCGTATGGCATTGGTGGAACTCTATATTGTGCAGCTGATTACAAAGTCGCTGAAGATGAGGTTTGTAAATATTTGTAACTGTTTTCTAACCTTGTAAACCCTCTGTATTTTTTTTTTATTATATTATTTTATCTTTTATCTTATTCTTATTTTATAACTTTTTAAATTTTTGCCTAAAAAAGATTTTTAATGTATATGTAGCTACTAAGTTTTATAGATAATTTTTTTTGGTTTAGTATTTGTATTGCCAGTCTTTTTAAGTTATCCTTATTTAAGCTATAAGTTAATAACAAACTTTCGTATTTTATAATTTTAAGAATACAAAAAAGATTGCTCTTTTTTTTGCCAGGGGAAGTTGATGGAATTTCTTATCGAATATTTAGGAACCTGTTCTTTCGGTTGATTTAGAAAAACTACTTGAAGCAATGACAAGTGAAGATCCTTTGGAACGGCCAACCGTTCAAGCGGTTAGCAAGGTCTGCGCTTTTGTTCTCTTAGAAGAGCAACTTTTAGTCTGAAAAAATAGTTTACAAAATATAGATGCCCTTTTGACCAATCGATTATTATTTTACTGGGTTAAGCTACAAAGTATATAACGTTATTATAAAAAAAAAAAGAAAAATACTTCACCATTTGTTTGTGTTTCGTGCAAGCATTTGTTTAACTATTCATTTCAGCTTAGCAAGTCTCGCACATGTTTACTGCGTGGATTATTATATAACTGAGGGTTAGAGAGAAAGATTAATAATTTGCTAGGTTTAGAAAGCATAAACCTTTATATATGGATCGCGTGTTTTTTTACCTATAAAATCTTATTAACTTCAACTTTCTGGGAGATTTTAACATTTTTATATTTATAAGTACTTTTTGTTCAATTTTGTATGTATAATGTTATACCTTACCTAAAGCTAGCCGAGGAGAAAGCTCCCAATTCTCGTGTTCTGCTTTCTGAATTATACCAGGAGGTGTGCAATATGGATCACGTGATAAACATCTCTAAAAAAGTATTTCTATTAACAGTTATAATATAAAAGTTGACTTCTGTTCTACGCAAGCACTACAGAACACATATTATGAGTGTGATATTTGTACTGCAGTATATATATAGTTTGCAGTATATATACTAGACTTAATGCGTGCAGTCTATAACTATAACTTTTCTTAGACAGAAAAAAACAAAGCACCTTTTAAGAGTCCTTCAGAAAAGCCCTGCACAGTTCAGGAAACCCAAGATCGCGACACTTTAATGGAGGCGATAAGAACTGGAACTTACTTGAAGCCTACGGTTAACTTTTTTGTAATTATTCGAGTACTATATATTTTTAATTTAATTTCCTAAGAATGTAGTCGTATTTGAAAAGCAACCTGTAGTAGCAAGCCAATTTATTTGTGGCGGAAGTGCAAATCCTTCAGGTTTCAACACTATCATCATTATATACAAATATTGTTCGAACAAAAGAAATAACGGGCTTTCATGCTTTCAAAGTTTGTCTATCAGTTTCTGCTTTGTTTAATAAAAGGTTTTTGTTATAAGGGGGCGGCTTGGTTTTTTTAGGAAACTTTTATGCGCATTCCTAAGCGAAGGCTAGAGCGACTGTTGTAAAACTGAACTGTCTTATCATTACTATCAACCTGCCATGGCTATTAGCTTTTATATTTGCTGTTTAAACTTTTTGTTTTATTTTCGAGGAACTTTAGATTTACAATATATTTAAGTCTTATTAAAAGTTAAAGGGGACTAGAATATTTAGTTTTTTTATTAAAACAGAAACAGTTGATTCTAATTCGAAAAACAAACCTTTAAGCATACCGGAAAACTCGAATGCCAATCCTGAACAGTATTTTTCTTAATTTTCTATATTTCTACTGGACAAGAATTTTTACAAATGTTGATAAAGTTAGCAAAGGCTTTTATCCGTGCGGTTTATTGAGTAACTGCTTGTATTTCTTTTATTTAATCTTTAGACGTTCGCAGCGTTCGCTTAATTTATCAAGAAAAGAAAATCGTAGTGAACTTGTACCAAAGTCTCATTTTGACTTATTTAACGTGGAGCTTTCAAGAAATGAGACCAGTTTTAGCAGTAGCTGCTGCAGTTTGACCTCAAATGGCAGCATTCTTTCTGCAAAGTGCAGTTCGGTGAACCTTCCTAAGCCCGCTGCTCGTGTGGATAACTCGGGCAATTCGACTGAGAGATTACGGTAAGAAGGCGGCTTATTTTGGTTGGCTTTATTATTTTGGTGGTGCTTAAAGTCTTCAGGAAGTGGTGCATATATGCAAAGTTCTTCGCGAAGCGTCCGTGTCCGATTTGAAGTTTGAGGCCTCCGCTGTCTATAAAAAGGTTCTCTTCTACTTAAAGCAATGCTTTATATTATTTGCGTAGTCGCATTTAGTTATCATTATATTTTACTTTTTGTTCGGTTTTTTTTTTAGGTATTTTTGAAGTCCTTGTGGCACTTATTATTTTTTTAGCTTTTTTTTTATTATTTCAGATCGTCGAGAGAAAACTTTGTTGGATTTGCAAAGCCGTAAAGTTTAGTTTATTTTCTGCCAAGTTCAAGTTGTGTTTTTTGTGCGGTGGCTGCGTGTGTTATAACTGTTGCCTCACGCGAGCCGTCCTGGAAGAACGCGAAAAAATTGTTTGTATTGCCTGTAATAACGATGTATTATTGAAGCCAATATGGTAAATGACGTGAAAAAGCTTTCTAGTAGTGACCACAAAATGTTAACCGAACAAAGTATACTTTATGTGAATAATTTTAAATTAAAGATTTGTAGATAAAGCTTTCTTCCTTCTAAAATTCTGTGCCGCAGCCATTATTAGCTTTACCCGTTAAAAAAATTAAAAAGATAAAATTGTAAAACCTAATGCCTGTCTATTCACAGTATTCAAATCTTTTTTAGTAACAAAAAAGGATGACAATAATTTTAAGCGTATAATTTAAAATTTACGCTTATATTGCGCCTGTACGAAAGTCTCTCTTAGAAGTTTTTAAATTAGTTAAAGGTTTACTCCGAAATTACTTAAGTAAAACTTCGTCATTACTTGTTATGAGTCTTTCAAGTCTTGATTTTGAAAATAGCCGATTTTCTTCTAACCATTAAGGAGTTTGGTGTATTGGTGTTTCTGAAAAGTAGTTTAAGATTCTTATTGTTAAAAAGCAGTGCGTTGCCCTATTTTCTAAGGACTTTAGCAGGGGCTAAGTCCAGCGCAGTATGCGTCCATGCTGTCCTAGTTTGGATGTAAGTATGCGCCCGTATATCTCTTAAAGTTTCGCGCCCAACTTTATTGTTTAGTCGGATAACAGCAATGGTGATTAATGCATGTACGGTCCATGCCGAAATATTAGTCGTACAACGCAGGGCAGCTGTAGGTCGACCTAAGGGATATAAAAACTAGTCTTCCCTTTTTAAGTGGTACCACGTGCGGGATCCACTGATAAAAGTGCCGTTAGTGACTCCTTGCTATTTGCTATGTTTAAGACGGGTCCACCACCCGCAGCAAGCTTGTCAAGAAGAGCTGCAGGTTCTGGCTCTGGCATAGTAAGGCGATCGCAAGTAAAAGAAGAGGATAGTAAAAAATGAAAGGGTAAGGTCTAACAGAACAGTCAGGGAGTGCAGCCGGCCGAATAGGCCTTCGTGACGTACTCAACTATATTACAGTTTAAAATTTTACTGCTGAGGCTACGGCAGTTATTACTGAAGCCAAAAAAAAAATTTTTTTTCCATGCAAACCAAGCACATGCAAGCCCTAAACATTTATAATAATATTATATTTAATATTTAAATATTTAATTTTTAAAAATTTTAAATTTTTTTAACAATAAGAAACTTCATATACATGTATATTGCGAGTACGTAGTCATAGACACATCACGCGTGTTCCCTACAGTAAAGATCTCCATCGCGCGTAAAAGGGGAGGTAAGCGCAGAGCTACATTCCTTGCAAACTACACAATTGCTATGATACGGTTTGCCGGCTACGCAAGGATAGCTTGAATCTGTGCAAAATTTTGAAGAGAACACTTATGTACAAGATATAAAGGAAAAAACCTTTTATTTGCAGATTACACTTAGTGCAAACTGGAAAATTTTCGCACTTATCACAGGAAAACGCGCCATCTTTGTAGAAGAAGGCGGACAAATCCAAAGGACCGTGACACGTAGAGCACTTAAAACAGTCGCTGTGGTAGAGAAACCCCTCAAAACGAATCCTGTCCTCGCTAGGGCGAATGCCTGCCTTGCATGCTGCGCACGGCGAGTGCTTGGCCTGTTTTTCCTCGTAGCAGGGGATGCAGTAGATGCGACACTCCTCTTTCTTGCTTTTAGGCTCGTGAGGAACAAACTCCTCTTGTGCGGAGAAAACCCTCCGGCACTTTCGACACTTGAAGCAAGGCAGATGCCACAACTTATCGTCATAATACGCATAGGACTCCTCTTCAGCCAACGAATTACCACATGCAGCACAGTTTCCAGGAGTCACTTCTGAAGTTTCTATTGAAACTTGACTGGGAACGATGTTAATGTTGGCATATTGATCGGATGACTGCTTGTTATTTAAAGGTTCCTTGCTGGGTTTAGCAGACAACATTTCAAGGCCGACGGATGTGCTGGCCTCTTTTTCTTTAGAAACTTCTGCAGGAGCAGTAGCTCCTTTCTTTGTAAGTAAAATTCAAAAACTTTTGTAACTATTCAAAGTGTTTATATTATAGACACAAATACAATAGATGGATCAGCAGGGCAGGGAACAACAGCAGCAGTTTTAACAGACGTATCTATACACGAGAAATAAAATTTATGTGAACTACATTATTTTCAATTTATTTTTTTATTAATTTTTTTACTTTACGTACTTTTCACTCTTTTACTTATTCAATGTAAATTTATATAAAAACATTATATCTAAACAACTTACTGGCGACTTTTGCTGTTTCTTGATCCTTTAGAAAATGAGTATCCGCTTTAGGTACGTGAGCTTTGCAATAAATTTCTCCTAAAAACCATAAATTTAAATATAGGCTATTATAACCTAGTAAGATCGACCTTGAGCGGAAACAAAATTTTTTAAAGTCAAAGTTAAGTGGCAAGTAGCGCAATTAAAACAAGGCTTATGCCAAGATCGCCCGTTTACTAAGTTACCTATTTCATTATTATTAGGATTATTAAAAAATCTGTTAGAAATAAGGTTTATAAAGATTTTTAAACAAAAAATTAATTATTTTAAATACTTTCAACTGGGTACGCGACCTTTGAGCAACGCCCGCAAGTTTTGTTCATAGCTTAAATTTATTTTTGATTTAATATATTAACTTAGGGTTTTAACACCGTAGAAAAAATCAAGAGAACCTAAAACGACAGTTAGTTATAAATTATTAGAAGATACGACAGTCAGAAAATTTTTTACTTTAAAAAACAAAACACCTAAAGAGGGTTTAAGGAAAAGATGAGCGAAAAAAAAACGATTGACTCCTACACACATTAACTTCGAAGAGTGCACCCACCCGAGTAGACAAGCCAGTCAAAGGGCTTATTAAAAGCTCTCATAAACACCATAGCTATAAAACCCTTTTATAGGCTGGACCGAGTCGTTACTTATGAGTTTATTCTATATTTAGTAAACTCGGCCCATTTCAATTATTTTGAAAATTGTTTTATGTTTTTGTTTAAACAATAAAGTAAATTAGTCAGAATGATCCCCATGGATTTTATAAAAGAATGACTACATATATAAGAACCAATTCAGAGCATTTGTTAATTATTTACTTAATTTTTATTAGAAATATTAGAAAAATTAGTTTCTACTTCTATTTTAAGAACAATGTTAGCACCCTTCAATAAAAAATTCTCAAAGAGGTGCACAACACAACAGTGTATAAGATACTTTTCATACTTAATAGATGGTAAATTAGGAACCAAAAAGATGGTGTAAATAGCATAACAAAGTGAGACATTATTTTTTTTTTTAATTTCAAAAAAAGTTTAAATGTAAAAATCTAAGCTTTGTACTAACAGGGGCTTTTGTAATAAAACTAGTTATTTACACCCCTGCTTTTACTATCTACGAAGAGGGGCATCTTTGGGCTGCTAAACTCATAGTACTAACTTCATCTGTATATAAACCTTCGATAAGCAAGCTAAATAAGGATATTTATTAAAAGCTGCTTTAAAAAGTAAATCAATACAAAGCTAATAATTTTATATATATTTAATAAACAATTCAATAATCAAGCATGCGCCCTTATCTTCAATTTCTTTTAGAAATTGCCCATAGTCATAGTTGCCTTTCAGCACTTAAACAGATTTTTAAGGTTTACTACCGAAAGTAAGGACCTGGTAATGTGCACCTCTCGATTTTTCAAAACTTCAATATAACTTCTTTTGAAATTCAAAAAATCCTCAATAATGAGGAAGCTACAAGAGGGCCCAGAAAAAGCGCTTTTAACAAGCTAAACTTTTAAACTTTATGGCCTTCTTTTATCTGTAAGACGATCTAAGAAATATGTATGCTACTTCGAAAAGAGTGAAAGCTGTAAAGTTGAAACTAAAGACCATCGAAAAATTATTTCCCTGTCAAAAAGTAAACTAAAAGTTGAAAGAATCCCCAGATCAATTTTTATTTACAAGTAACCGCTAATCCTTACAGTGCTCTTTAATTAGTCAACGAGCTTAAAATAAGATAATAGAGGATAGTAAATTAATTTACTATCCTTAGGTAGTGCTAAAGTAAAAAAAAGTCACAAATAATAACAAAAACCATGATAATATTAATAACAAAAATAATATAGAAATAATACTTGTACTAAAAGTAAAGATGGCTGTAACAACCATAATAGAAACATTGCTAATAATGACACTAAAAACTCTATGTATAACTAATAAAAACATAAAATATAATATAAATAAAGACTCAGGTATATTCCCTGTAGAGAACATGAAAGCAGCCTGTATTTTTAGATGATAGTATTTCTTACCTATGCCCGTGATATCGCCGGCAACTCCGATCTAGTTTTTGCAGCTGAAGCTTCTCTAAGAGGAAATAATATAATATTTCACCTTTATAAAGCGAAAACAGGAATGACACCTTTTAGTAAAACTTCTACACAGCGGCGGAAATCCTGAAGTCCAAGAACGCACGTCGTGGCCTTAATCCTGGCAAGCACAGATGAATAATTGCACCTTCACATCTCCTGAGCATAACGAAATGCTACTTACCATAGGAGAGACCTTTTAAGTTAGTATTTGGAGGGATATATTGCGTTCTCGACGTTCCAACCATCGAGGGAGGCTTACGCAAGAGGTATGTCCCCTGTGCAAAGCGTGCTTATACTGAAGTAAGACGACAAAATCAGTTATAAATAAAACGGTTTTCCGTCTTCAGGTTATAGCGGAGAAGCTAGGTAAGAAACCGCATTGGACAGTGCCACGCTGCCCCTCCGTTTCCAAAAACTCTATTAATGGAACTTGCCTTCAAACGCTTGTGTTGCGCCATTTCTATTAGCAAAAATTGTAACTACAGTAAACTTTACCCTATAAAGATCTTATAAAAGACCTGTTATTGTTGATTCTAAGTTAAACAAAAATGTTGATGTTCATCACTTATAAACTCTTTCTGAAAACTGTGGGGCATGATGGACGTTATTAGTGCACCGTGACCAGCAAATAACGGTGGATCAGTCACCTGTTAGCGGTCGTAAGCGATCAAGTGCTACTTTACTGCGCCTTCTTGGGGCGGCCGTCGAAGCCTGAACGCTTCGCCGGGGTTCTAGTTGGCTTTTGGCTAGGTAGGTGTATAATGAGCTCATTTTTACATTTTTATATGTTCTATGAACAATCCAGTATTTGACTTTTTAAATAAATAATTTTAGAAAGGATATAGAATTGTCCGGGAAATTTTCCGAAGTTCATTTTTAGTTAGTACATTCGACATATAACTGATAAAGTCAGAAAGTTGAACTTTTTCATTTCTAACCTCTATGTGCAATGTATCATCCATATACCTTTTATTAAACAATATATTGGAAAAAAGTTATGAAATAAACTTTAAGGCTTTATAATACGCCATATATAGTTGCTAAAACTGGAGCAGCATACCCCATAGGAATACCACTTAATTGTTGGTGTAAAATATTATTAAATAGTAAAACCTTATTATATAACTAGAGATCGCTACATGGTATATACAAAGGAAATTTAAAAGAACTCAAAGGGATTCCACGATTTCTAATAGAATACTTGTAAATAAACTGACTCTATATAATAAACATAAACGTCATGACTTTTAAATTTGATATTATTTAAAAAAGCAAAATGGTGTCCGAATTATTCTTTAAGGAAAATATTTTGAGAAAGCAAAGGCCATAATTTAAATTATAGCAGCAGACTTAATTGGAAAATTAGGTTAAAATATGTTATTTTAATAATTAAGTAGTTTAAAGTAATAAATAAATATAAAGTAAAGTGCTATGTAAGTAGGTTAAATATTAATGGTAAATTTTAAGCAAAAAGTTAAGGTGCACAGGCCATATCCAAAATTGATAAAAGGACAACGGTACATAAGGATATAGGCCTTTAAAAGCTATCAAAATAGCCAACTTTCTAGAATATCCTATTATACCACACGTTTCCTACGTGTATCTTCGAGGGCAAAACGCTATAAGATTGAGATGACTTGCCCTTAGCGCTTATTTATATTATTTTAGAATGGTTATTTAGTTTTTGAATTTGTGCTCCTTAGGAGTCTTAAAACTTATCAATAAATTATTATTGTGCTTAAGGTTTTCATACTACAATATCTGTAATCTATAATGCTTTTATACTAATTATACAACTCACTGTTTATAATATATTTGCGTCCTGACTTTGAACCGTAAAACCAAATTACGTCAAAAAAACAAGTTTCCCGCTTTTTACATTATAATTTCTAATTTGTAACATCTTTTACAACATGCATAAACGAATTTTTCTTTAATGTAATTTGCATGGTATGATGGAATTGTATTTTTAAAATTTTTTTAAACTAAATAATAAAATATTATATGTAGATATAATACTAGATTAATAAGGTAAAAAGCTTTAATTAAATGGGAACTGGCTCATCACAGCAGGTTTCGAGAGTTCTTTCTGCTACCGAGAGAAGGTTACTCAGAGGAAATATTTAAGGGTCTAAAGTAGGCCGCAGTATTTACGATAGTAAATTATAGAATGTTATCCATCTACGTCAGTGGGTTTGCGAGTCAAAATAGACTGCCTAACGTTACTTAAGGCATTTTCCGTCGGCTGAATAACTTTCGCAAAGAAAGAACAGATTTGGGAGTTATATCTTTGTCTCAAGGCAAGACAAGCCGGTGACACGAACTGTGTAGCAAAGTGCTCGGCAAAAAGTGTCTCTTCTACATCTTTCTTCCCACCAAAACTACTTTTTGACGGTGATGGTTGGTATGATAGAGGTTTTTATTGATCCGCTTAACGAATCGCCAAAAGATACAATCCATCATAAGCCACCTTCGACACACCTAACATTACGGCCTCCAAGAGGCTGTGGAAAGAAAGATCAGCTCTTTTTTAGCTGCGTCAATTGAATGGGCTAAGTATAAACTTACCGCAGGAGTTTTGTGCAGTGACAGCCAGATGTATGAACATTTTGTTCTTTTAGGTATATCGATAGATGACTAACTTGGCACGCTTCGCATTGTATTATCGCAGTGAAGGAATGAACATTTAAAGGGTACCCCCTCTTTCTTGTGCAACTGTCTTTGAGGAGCCAAACACTCGTAGGATATGCGTTGTTCTGCGTATTACTCGACATTTTACCATGTACGCTTCTGATTCATCTGTTTCGAGTTGCTAAGTTACAATTATTGACGCCACATGGGGCAACAGAGTCTAATTGTAGCTGCGCACCCTAATTACTTATGCTTAACGATTTTCGGGAGAATTGCAGATCGGAATTTTTTTCGTGGGCTTGGCTCCTGCTAAACTAAGAAACCTCTACGCCTTTTCAATTAGGAAAAGTATTGGGAGGATGTTGCTGCGCTTCTTTAAACGACCAATGCGGTTCCGTTAAGTAGTTTTTGAGAACCACCCATGTGCCAGCATTTCGGCTTATTTTGGCTGCCACAATTTTACAGCTTGTCCTTGCAGTTAACGCAGTGGGCATTCTACTGCAAAAGTCGTCTAGCGCAATAGCTGGTTTTTAAAAACATTTACGGTTTCAGGTTTTTAAGGTTTAGAGGATCTGTTTCCAAAGCAAAATCTTTTCATTTTGACCGCATAAAGCAAAGTCTATTACATTAACCGTGTCTTCGTTGGTAGGTAACGAGCTAAGGAAAGTATTTTATTTTCGAGAGCACTTTTACAGCCTCGAACGCTAGACTTCCGGCAATATATATCAAGTTATTTTTCGCAATTTATAAAGCGTAAAATATTTTCACAGCCTCTGCGCGTCCCCAGAGTACAAATAGAGCTGGCTAATGCTATGTGTGGTTAATCTTTTGCAAGGATTTAACGTCAAACAGCACATAACTAAAGACTGCAAGGTATTACCTACCAGTCCTTAACGTATCGACAGTAGGACAAGTTCCTTTAATCTAAAGATTTTTAAGGAGGCACTACCCTATGAAGGGCTGTTAGCACAAAATACTGTTTATATGTCATCTATAGAAGGTGGGCTGGAAAGTGCTCGGAAAAATATCATAACAATCTATTTTTCATGAACAGCTAGTAGCATTAGACATTGTAAAAGTCCTTCCGTAGGGGTGCTATAATATTCAGCGAGTATCACTTGCAGAAAATTCTCATGCACCGCTGGCATTCATCAAAACTAACTGAGGAACCGCTTTGTCTTAATTAGATTTTCACCACGCAAAATTGAACGTCCACATTCAGAGGACAGAAAGTCATCTATTAAGTATCAAGTCTTAATAATCTTGCAATCTTTATTTTTTTTTCTTATTTTCTACTATTATTTACATCTTCCATAAACTTTATTGTTCGTATCAGCTTACATTTCTTCCAAGTGGGGGAGAAGAAGGAGGGGATATCGAACCCAAATTACATTTTTATAATATTTAAATACTTCGATTGCTAACTTTATTATTACTTTCCAAATTTGTCAGTTACACAGTTTACTTATCATTATTTTCAAAATAGTTCCACATAATCAATCTTCGCATAAATAACTCTGATACTACTATTAAGTCAACACCAGTGTTTACTTAATGTTAAAACCTTAAATTCAATTAAAATCATTAAAGCTAACAATCCGCTTTTCTTGTTAAAAAATAGTTATTTGTTAAAAAATTTGCAGTAAACAGTGGAGCATAATTTTACTTAAGGGTTGTAGTAGTAACTAAAAAGCGAAATTTAAGTAGTAGGCGGTAAGTAGCTATTACAATGTGACCGAGTTTATATTGTATTTTCGATAGTTCCCTAAATTTAACTTGTTAGCTGATTAAGTTTAAGATAAATAATTTTTTTTTTTTATACATTTAAGAAATTTATATTTTACTAGATAACCTGAATAGCCAGCGAAGCGATAACTAATTATTTTGTTTGACCAAGAGATACCCCGTGTGGGGCAATGTTTCTGTTCAAGTTATAGGGTGTCTTAGCGATGTTTTAAGCAGCATTTGTATAAAGTAAATACTAGTATATATTACTACATTTAAACATCTCAAATACAGGATTAAGCACTGTTATCTTTAGCCAAATTTATTAGCCAAAAGATGCTATTACTTTATATATACTACATTTTAAAAATAGCACTATACATAAACAAACTATAAGAAAGAGTAGCAGTTCCCACTAGTCCTTCGCCGAAACAAAGCAGCGAGTAGTGTTCTCTACCACCACTCAATTTTTAAGCCTTTTTTTTCGTGCATTTTTTTTAAAAATTAAAAAACATAATGCACTCACTGGGAGTTTTCGTCCCGAAATTACTCCCCTAATGCAGCACTTAGAAAATTCAGCCCGAGACAAGTGGCAAGTTATACCTCTCATCAAGATAGATACAAAATAAGAAAGATACAATGAAGGCCCAGTCAAGCTCCGCGGGAACAATGTGGAAGGTTCAGAGATCAAAGCGCGGTAGTGACACTAGCATATCATTAGCACAATAGACAACGTCCCAACGGCGCTCTTACATGATAAATCTCTGTCATTTTTTTAAGTGAAACTGTAACCATAAGATGCAACTCTAAAAGGTGTTACATGCAGGTCTCTTGCCTGCGAGCCGTGTTCGATTATTATCTTTTTAGGACCAATACTAGCTTTACTAGGCAGTTTGCTAATTGTAAACAATTTTTGTATG